CATCTCAACTTAAAATTACTATCAAGAAAACAAATAAGTGCTGGTAAAGATGCAGGAAAAAATGAAACCTGTATTTACTATTGGTGGGAGTATAAATGATTGCATTCAGTATGGAAATCAGTGTGAAATTTTCTCAAAAAATTACAGATAGAAGTCCCTTCTGACCTTATTATACCACTCTTGGGCATCCATTAGAAGGGGATATATATAGGCATGCAACAGAGATACCTGCACACCCTTGTTTATAATATCATATTCACAAAAGCCGAGCTATGGAGTCAGTTTAGGTGCCCATCAACATAAATAAAGAATCTAGAGGGGCTGGGAAGGTGGCTCAGTGGTAGAGCTCTTGCCTTGTATGCCTGAGGCCGTGGGTTCAATTCCTCAGCACCACATAAGCAAAAAGAAAAAAGCCGGAAGTGGTGCTGTGGCTCAAGTGGTAGAGCACTAGCCTTGAGCTGAAGAGCTGAGGGACAGTGCCCAGGCCCAGAGTTCAGGCCCCACGACAGGACCCCCCCCAAAAAAAAGAATCTAGGTATATATACATAGTAGCACACTTTTCAGCATTCAACCATTCAGGAAAATGGTTGAACTTAGGAACAACGTGTTAAATGAAATAAGCCATACTCAAAAATATATCATGTTTTCTCTTACATACAGAATCTAGGTCTAAGAAAGAAAAAGGAAGATATGAATATAAAGGAAAGATATCTGAGGAGGAAAAAATTAGAAGATGATGGAAGGTTAATATTATCTAAATAACTTATATGCCTATTAAAATGTAAGAGGAGAGGAGCAGGGAGAGAGGACAAGAAAGAGTAATGGGGAAGTGGTGCTTTGGCTCAAGTGGTAGAGCACTAGCCTTGAGCTGAAGACTCCAGAACAGCACCCAGGCCCAGAGTTCAAGCCCTGCAATTAACAACAAAAAAAAAAAAAAAATTAAAGAAACTGAAGGAGATTCTAGAAGCTAGAATAATCTCCTTTGTGGCAGGAATTAGAAGAATTAATATTGTGAAAGTGG